TCACCCACCTGTTGTGTGGCGCGTGCATCCCGCTCGCTCTTGTGTGATTTGGAAATCACTCTCATATGATCTGTAAATTGCTTTAATATTCCTCAATATACGTTTATTTAGTCCTACAATTAGACCCGTGGTGGCGTGGTACAGTACTAAGTCCGCCAGGTACTTCTCACTAGTATTTTTTGGCATGCATTACGATACATTGCAATCTACATTGCAATTTAGTATCTCGTGACAGTTTAACTCGTAGCTTATTTAAAAAAATCCATGCGCCAAAAAATTTATTATTATAAACATCAGTCATGCTTGTTATATAACATTTAGATTTTTTGGATTCTACCTATTAAATAACTTGTCAATGTTTGTACTGTAAATGTTTCTGAAATGACTTATATGTATTTAACATTTCGTATGCTTGTAACATGCAAGTCAAAGAATGCTGTCATCAAGTATAAATATAAATTAAACTTTTTTAAAGGTGCTTTATTTTTAGTAGTGATGTATGTTTTAAGAAAGTCACTTAAGACTGTGTATCCATTGCTGTGTTATAGTTCAAACAGACGTCCATATTTTAAAATATTTAATACAATCCTGAGAAATTAGAAAATTTAAAGTGTTTGATAGGTAAAATATTATTTCAATATGCTAATTATAATATCATACTACTCTACAAAATGCAAAACCACCCTTAACTTGACTTACGAACCTCCCTGAAGGTAGTATTTACCTCAAGACACCCTAGGTGTCGCGGCAAAGACGTCTAAAGCGCTCGTAAGCCACCCTTACAGAGGGATGTTTATATTTATATCTCTCTAAGCCACTAAGGCCACCCTCTTAGACAAACCGATACATTATTGCAGACCAAATCCCGCGCTGTAGTTTGCTCATAAATAAGTTACTCTGTAATAACCAGGCTCTATTGGCGGCCTTTGTGCCAATTTAGAGGCCAACAATTTAGAGGCCAACTTGTACAAGGTGGCCAGTTCGCATTAATTACCTGTATTGTTGGACTCTTGTTGCGATTAGTCAGTCTGCTGACTGTTGTTCGACAGCTGTTGTTGTGCAGCTTGACGTGTTTACAGACCACACTATTGTTGGGCGATTGTTGTTTAATAAGTAAACCCTGGCTTGGAGCGGCAAGTGAACTGTTTGATTTTGTATTGACTGTTAACGATGTATAACGGTTTTGATTGTAATAAAAATATTACACAGTGGGAAAGAATGTTATTTATAACTCTGAAGAATACTTTTACAAGTTGGTGTTCGTATAAGAAGTAATTCAAGCCACGAGTAATAGCATATGATTAAATTAAAGGACTTAACTAATCTGTGCTGTGTTTAAAGCGTAACGTGTTTATAAAGTAAAATAGAGTTTTATTAACCTTCATTTGTCAAAATCAAAAGACATGAAATCATGGCCCAAATTTTCATCACATCCTTTACTTTATGGTGCTGCTAAATTTTACTTACACGCCTATTCAAAATAAATTATTATAGATGATTATTGTCATTGTCTTACCTAAAGAATACATTATTTTTTTTGACTAGATTGCATTGGATTGAAACTGTTTCAGGATATATTACATTTCATAAATACAAATTCTACTGTGATAACACATTTCTCACTTTTTTGGGTTAATTTCAATAATCCATTATTCAATATGTGGTTTTATAGTTAATTTAATTGATTTTTATAGTTTTAAATTTTACATGTAAAGAAGACCAAAAAAACCTGAAATGGTTCGAGTAATTAAATACCCCCGCCGCAGCAAACCTGCCGTCTTAGCGAATTTCCATTTGGCTGAATTGATTTTCAATTGATCCATTTAAATAACATTAGGTTTAACAAGTACCTAGGTTTGCTGCTACAAGGAAACTAATAAAGTGTGTGTTTTAAGTAAAATAATTATACCTTAGTATAAAATGAATATATTTGCCAAGTTTGATCAAAAGATATCCATAACCAAGCAAACTACAACATTTTACAATATTCTCCATAAGAATAACATGGGAATTTTAAATTGACCATTTTTTTAGTTTTCTCCGTAACCAATAACCGTACAAAAACACTTTGATATACTGAATTGTTTGTTTTTTTAAGCTCTTTAAGAAGGTTTAGAGGAAAATTGGGAAATTTTATGTTTTGAGGGTCAAAAGTGAGAAAAACCAATTTTTACCCCATAAAACCCCCCATAAAACCCTGTTCCCATGGTCCGATCATGCTGGATCGCGAACTCATTCAAGTTTATCCCGCCTTACACCTTTAAACCAAATTTCATCAAAATCGGATAAAAATTACTCAAGTTATCGTGTTCACGGACACACATATATATATATATATAAATCTATATATATGTATATATATATATATATATATACATATATAAAAATTTGAACAAATGGTGTTTTTGGCCTCTGGGGACATCAAAATGAAAAAGTAAATCGGTCCCGGGCCTAAGTGTTACCATAAGACCTACGGTAATAGCTACTTCCCTATAGGGAAATTCGCTAAAAATTTGAAAAAATAGTATGAAAAATAATTTAAAAAATCAATAACTGAAGGTTAATAGAGAACAAATATTGATCAAAATGTTAAAACCATAATATTTCAACATTCCGTTTACTTTAACACAAACAACTTATCCATGTTCAAGTACATCTCCAATATTTAACACCCATCTTATAAAGACATAAAAATTGAAAGACGTACGGTAACAAGACGAGTCAGTGAGGGCGTGAGGCAGAAACCATTAGTGGAATAATTGCACTCACCGGGGGGTCAACGGCTATGTCAACTTGAAACAATCGTTACTGCAACATCCAAAATGGCGAGTAAATAAGGGCTGCCCGCATGGCCAGTCCAAGTTTCAGTTTTGGGAGGGGGAATTGTCTTACCCGCTCAACGGAATGTACCCTCCATTATGGCAGATGGTAAGATTCCATACTTGAGGCTTGAGCATGCCGTTGTTCTACACCAATACGACTTGAATGCAGCGCTGGTAAACATTTAGGGCGCGACCACTGAGTTGCTTATCTATATGGATTTGAGGGTTTATATTAAATATAGTTAATGAAGATAAATATTTAAGTGTTTATAGTTTGTTAGTTTAAGTAAATTTTCTTAAATGTTGGGAATCTCCAACACGATTTGGGATCAAACTTCATTTTGTAATCAGTAATAAATTCTGCATAGAGTGCAAGCCATCTACATGTTAAATTTGTCGCCAGATTTTGTACCGAAGTCATCGTAGTTGATGTGAGCCGTCGACAGTTTGCTACTAAACTCTGTAGAATACACGAAATCTCTTACAAAGTCAATCTAATGGAATAACTTATGGTGAGCTATAGCAACTGTTATGACCCATCAACCTGGCCAGCAACAAAAAATTAGGTTTAAAATAGAATTTTATACACTAGCACATTCTGTGACTAACTCAATCAGCTACATCTTTTTTAAATATAAGAATGGTGACAGCTTGTCCATGTAGTTGGGGTGTCTACAGCTATATAGGTCAGTAGTCTTTAAAATTGTCAAATGTATATTTTCGCTGAATCATGCTTACGAGTCTACCTCACTAATACTGCATATTAGGACGGGTAACATCAATTGCGTCATTGGGTCGAGGCAATTTTGAGTCCCATTAAGCTGTATGACCATTTACTTAATAAAATAAATCTATATGTGACTGAGTAAAAACAGGCGTATGTCGTTTGTAGAGATTATTTGATTAAGAGCCTCAAATAGGTTTAAAACGAATAACTTTTCATGCCAATAACCCTGCTTGACATGGATCCCCATCTTGACAAAAAAGTGTACATCGAAAATAAGCGTGAGATGAGATTGATGCCTTTTGCAGTTTGCTATAATTGTAAGATAAGCAGTTTCTTAAGCCATGACCATTTAATAAAATCTCTCTGATCCCAGACGGTTGGTTCCACTTTCAAAGTATGAACATACAGATTGTTCTACGTAAAGCCCGACTTTAAATAAATGATTATGCAAATGATACCTCAAGTTTACTACGTTTTTAATTACTTAAAACATTTCTTCTCTCTAAAAAAGACGTTTACGAAGTGATATAGCTATAGCCGCTCCAGCTAAAAGTAAACAGATCCCCAAAATCACGTTACACGCCAGTTTAACATCACAGAGAGAAGCGAGACGGCGAAAGACGAGGAGGATCCCCCAGGCGGCCAAATATTTGGTGGGAACGAGACTGTATTTGGCGGGTAGTCCTCCCCGTGCCCGGGGCTCGACCAAACAGCCGCGATGATTCGATATCTCACTCATCAGCGTCCATTCACCGACAATTGTGACCCATTCAATCAATTCCTTCTGTTAATGTTAATAGGAGACGCATTAACGTGATTAGTGACGTCTGACGGAGAAGATTTGCCTCTATGTCTTTAGCGGGACTTGATTGTCTTATCGCTGATTATTGTCTAGTGAAAGGTGGAACAAGGTTGGAACGAGGTTTGGGTCTTAGGGAAGGGCAATAATAGATCTTAAGGTAATTAATTTACGAGACTAAATGTAAAACCAAATGTAAACTATATTGCCGTAGCTAACATATTTCATGAAATATTAATGGACTATTTTTAAAAACAAAACAAACATTAGGAAACTTTATAGGAATAATACTATTATTATTGTTGTGCAGATTTTTTAATTACTGTCATAAAGAGTAACTATAATAACGACGGTGGGGCAGACCTTGATAAAAAGTACAAACTAAGATTAAATAAACGAAGTTAAGGTTTTTCGTAATATATTTATGTATAATAGAAACTGATGAAAAGAGTCTAGTGACCAGGACATGCATATTTTATTGTTTTTGGTGATTTTCTTGATACAGAACGTATAAAAAAAGACATTAAAACTGACCAATCTATGTTTGCCATTTTTAATACCTCAAGCAAACTTATAAGATTGTATGGATATAATTTTAATGTATAAGATATTTGTACCAAAGAGTGACTACATTTTATTGTTGGTAACTTACCTTGCGGTTGAGGACAAAGGTCGTCTTTTTCGATATTTTGCGTAACACTGCGTGGGTAATACTGGAACAAAAAAGATCAATTAATCATCCTGTATTGGGCTTATCATGAAATTCAACAGTCATCTTAAATATATTATTCTTATATTTTATATATGTGTGTATAAAACTCAGAGAAGATACTAATATTAAATATACATATACAAAGGTTCAGCTAAAGAAAAAAAAATAAATACACTCGTTGCAGCAAACCTTTGACTATTATAAATTTTACTGATTGGATTTTCACTCAAATATTTTCTTCAACATGTTACATTTATTCTCTTTTAAATAAAAGTAGTTTTAATGATTACTTAGGTTTTCTGCAACATAGAGTGTCATAGTGTCAAGTGTGATTTTTTTAGATAATGTTAACACCTTGGTATAAAATAGATATATTTACAGAATCTTATTAGCATATATTTGATGAACAAAGTAACTACAAAAGTTTACCAATACTTCATACTAATAATAAAAGAGTTTTAATAGTGTTTATCAATTTTATTTATAAACATCTGGCGTACAAAAACACTTTAATGTATTAAAATATATTTTCCTTAAATACAGAATGATTTATAATTTAAATTTAAAAAATCATGTTTATCTTTACCATATTATACCCCCGCCCCTAAATGGAAAAAATATGTTTATCTTTACCATATTATACCCCCCCCCCATTTAATCCCGATCCAATATGTTCATCAAACGAAAAGATAAAGCTGTCTAAAGAATTTGTTGGATTGTTGTATTCAGCAAATCGACCCCAAAATATTTATTTTTCACCACACAATGATGTTTTTAGCTGTTTTACATACATTGGTGGCAGAAAGTTACGTTTTGCTGGCCATGCCAGCTGTCATCGTCATTTCGAGACCGAGCAGGTTTTTACATCCCTAGGGCTACAAAATCAGCTGCCCGGTTACTTTCTTAAAACATGAATGCATATTAAACACATAATCAGTATCCATAGTATTGCAATAGAATTGTTTTATTGTCACCGCTGCCTAGCAACTATTTATCGTTATTTTTGCTGATTACTCAAATTATTTCTTCACATAACCCTTAAAGTTGTAGTTGTGTTGACTATCCGGGTGCATTATTATTGTGGTGAATAGTGGTAATAGGGTACAGTGTGGTGAAAAATATCATTCGTACCTCGAACCGAAATTGTTTTCGGCCCTAGGTACGAAATATACTATTAAAAGCATAATGGGTATCAACTTAAAGCTCTTATCCTCTAGATGTGGCTTTTGCAGTTTAGGATGATATCCCGCGAAAGCCCTTCATCCATTTTCAAGTTTAGACGTACATTTATTGTTTACATCAAAACAGATGGTCACAATACAATTTTGTTTATTTGCATACGAAAATGGGATTAACGTTACAGTTGGTGATGTTTTAGAGAATTCGAGAAAAATATTGTAACGTTATTTGTATACAATGTAAAGAAGAAAATTACTTAGTAATATTTTGTGTTGTCATAGTATGTTTTATTGGGGTTTTACTTAATTCAAATAAAATATTTTAATGGTATTTGTTTAAAATGTAAAGAAGAAAATGACTTGTGTTAGATCTTATGCTTGCATAGTAAAAAACTAATTACAAAGTTATGTTCAAGGTTTGTTTGAAACATTACAAGTTAGTGATGAGTTAATGATTATCAAGTAAAAAATAGGTAATTTTCAACTTAAGTCATAGCACTAGAAAATGTTTAATTAGTTTAAATATATCACGGATGTTGAAGTCACTTACTGGCTGCTTGTTTTGTGTAAAAATAATATTGTTACGAGCCATTTTAGAATTTCACATTGGTCGAGGCATACAACTAAAAATTATTAGATATAAATCTTTAAGATTCCCTGTCAAAATTATGCTCCAAATAATGAATATTTAAATAGTCCAGGAGGTATCTTAAATATCGTTTCTTGAAATTGTTAGTTTCAACATTTGTGAAATGTATATACATTACCAAATAAAAATTATACTTACTTACAAATAAACTATTTACAATTCCACATTTTCAAATACATTCATAGACTCCACCACGATTTCAACCAATACAGAGTACATCAAACGGAAGCTCGATCAAGACTTATTAACTAAATATCATCAGAGAGGAAATGAAGCGACGATGCCAGAAATATGGCTCCCAGCAGACATTTATGTGTTTAAGCCCTTTGAAGTACAGGGAGCACACAAAACGAAACCGAGCTCAAATATATCTAGAGCCACACACTAGGGATGAGGGGATAACACACTATCTTGTCGTGTAACCCTTCCAGCAAGTCAACTCTGCTTCAGCTTCTCTTAAATTCAGTGGTAGAGCAGTTAGTCAACTTTTTGCATATTAGGCTAACGACTCGTTAAATTATAATAAAAAAATGTAATACTTATCTTAATTTTTCAAGTAATACAACGATACAAAAAAGATGGTATGTGGTGATCGATTTCGATTGGACACTCCAATCATCATCAGACCCAATAGGCGAATGACTTTTTTGTATATTTGCCGTCTTGTGAGTAACAGTATAAGAGTAAATATATGTTTTAAATGTTATAAGACGTATCTTTTATTTACTTTCCGTAAATTTAATAACACGTACAATGCTGATCAAGAAGTTCTCTATAAATAGTTTGGTTTATCTACATAAAATAAAGCCAAATATTTTTCCACTGCTTACTGTAGTATTATAAAATACATTCCAATTTAAGATTTACATCTATAACCTTTATAATTTAACAAATTATGTTTCACAATCATTCTCAGCCAAATGAGGGGGTTTAGGGGAGTGGAGAGGGGGTGGAGCAGTTCAAATCATGAGATTATAAAACTGATTTTCGGAAAAACATGTATACTGTGCTCATTGGGCTATCTACAAAAATATAATCAGCAATCCATTTCCATGTCTACTAAAAGTTATATTTGAAAGAAATTCGGTTTGGAAATAGTATAGTGTCCAAACAGTTTGCTAATACATATAACCCTTGTTTTAGTTAGGACCAAACATCAATGACTCTCTTAAATTTTACCTTAATCCCTTATCATACCTCTTGTCAGTGCAGTATTCATAGTAATATTCTAATATCTCTAGCCTAAAAAATATCACGAATAAAATAATATTTGTCAATTATGGTAAATCTGCATACAAGTTTTTACACTTCGTATGAAAACTATTTTTCTAATAGTTCTGTGGAGCAGACCGAATGTCATGTATGCAGTAGGCCTATGAATAGAGAAATGTTTCCATATCTGATTTAAATAGACAAAATCAACTCTATCACGATCAAAAAGAAGAGAATATCAACCTAATTTTATCACAACAGTCTAATACCTATATCCCAATTATTTCTACCCTCAACACATTGTCGCCAAGGTTTCTCCAGTCCCTTTTCTCCTCCCTTGACGGTTCTATTTTGTCCACGTATCTGTTCCGTATTAACGTCCGAGGGAGACATGATTAAAAGCTGTAGGTGACAGTCAGTGGTTGCCGTTAGTTCCAACTCCTTCCACCTCGCGGTCCTAGCGCCACCATCGCTAGCGGCGAGACGGATTGCTACCATATCGGGAGGAAGTTTTGCATTCAATTTGTTTTTATTGGTCCTTTCGGAAAACAATATAAAGTTGGAGGCGAACTTTTATTTTATAATTGGGAGACCAGATCGATAGTACAATCCGAGGTATAAAGAAGCGATGTTGTTTTCTGCCAGAGTCATTTAAATAGTTGATTACGTTTATGTGTAATTTTTCATCTTAGCAATATTTAAATTAAAATTTTTGCAGGTAACTTCTTACTAAACTATACAAAATATACGTCTCAGGGAATTAATTATGTTGACAACACTATCTAAAATCACTTTATTGCCAAAAATATACTACAGCATTTAAATTGTTTTGTACTTTAATAATTGGTTATCAAAGAGGATCACTGTTTCCTAAAATGCATCTTACCAAAATCCTCTGTTGCTTATTTTCTTTGACAACACAGTCAAGGAAACCAAGTATATTGAAGACACAATACCTTTTAACAACTATTTTTGATTCTTTTTTACCTACCACAAATTATTATAATTTGAGTATGTAGGAGTTAATACCATTTCGAAATATCAGGTTCTGTAATGACATCAATTACGAACTATATATTAGTTTCTGCAGGTAGTGGACCCCCCAATGAATTTTCATGAGCATTTACACAAAAAAGTGGCGAATCTAAGGGTCCACAATTCATATTAAGTTGGTTATTAAATATTAAGTTCTATAAAAGGACCATGCGGACATAAGTTTGCCTCAATAAAGAAGGATTTTCATATGTCATAATGGAATCCTTTTAAAGCATCTCTTAATACATTATTTCCAATATTTTAGCCACAACTAACTCAAGTGAAATACAATCTAATGTCTAAATTAACAAGACAAGCTAAAATGTGACTTCCTCGTTCCATTCACTGTTTAAACATCGAACCCATTCTCTAAACCTTTCTAAATAACGACGGCCTTATCAAACGCTAATCCGAAATCCATTTAAGGATCCAATTGAAGTTGTCGAAATCTTTTCAAGAGTTGTAAATTACGATGGAATCTTAAAGTGCCCAAAGTGTTTGAATGCGATGCTTTCTCTATAAATTGCTATCCTTCAGAGTCGCTATTAACATTTACTCTGCCATTACTGTAATTAAAGCGGAATGCCATAACGTCGGTTCCTTATCTTATCATCCCCCTTTCCCCTCCCGTTGGGGATGACAGGAAGAGGGGAAAGGGAAAGGAAAGAGAGGTCATCCGGGACTAGCTAATATCTTGCTAATTCCTATACTCCGCTATTTCTATAATCGCGAGAGCTTTTCGCGTACCACCTATTAGCCTCCATTAAGCCTTATCTCTCTCTCTTTCTCTCCACATAGTCTGTACTCGCTGTCTCTCTCACTCTGTACGCTTTACCCACTTATAGTCCCGTCAAAATACTACCTTCACCACCTTATTGCTTTACGTTGCGCCCCCCCCCCCCCACAAGTTGCGTAAAGGTTAAGCCA